ACAGGGGTTGCACTGGGGATGCTGGGGGGGGTTTCTGGGGGATCTGGGCCGGGCTTGAGGTTTCTGAGAGCTCAGTGGGGTTTTGGTGTCTGGGGTGAAGTGGGGCTCTTGAGGGGCGGTTAGAGAGCAGCAGAGGATTGGGGTGCTGTGGGGAGAGGCGGTGGTGATGCCTGTTTCTGTGTCTTGCCTTATTGCAAGGTGTTTTGGGGTGTTGCGGTGTACTCTGGAGAGGGGGTGTGGTGGAAAGGGCCCCCGGGAATGAGGTTCCCTGAGGAAAGGTGAGAAGTCAGAGCTCAGGGAAGGCAGTCGCTGAGGGGGCCAGGTGTTGTGGGAGGAAGGAAGGGGCTGGGGTTTCGGGGTGCCATGGCTCGCGGGGTGCTGCAGGGAGGCTGGTGCTTGGTCTGAGGCTGTGGGGCTGCAGGCCAGACTCCCCAGGATCAGCAGCCTCCTGCATGCAGTTCAGTGAGAGCACCCCAAGGTGCCACCTCGTCGCTTCTTTGCGGCTCAACAGTGATTTCTTCTCGCCGTTTTCCAGGACACTTCACCTCGGCGGAGGATTTGAATCTGCTGATCGCCAAGAATACGCGACTGGAGATCTATGTGGTGACGGCGGAGGGGCTGCGGCCCGTCAAGGAGGTGGGGATGTACGGCAAGATCGCCGTCATGGAGCTCTTCCGCCCCAAGGTGGGTGCACTGCGGGGAGGGGAGCGGGCTGCCCGCCAGCTGGGGAGGGCAGGCGCGGGCACACCGGGGCCGCCGGCTCTGGCACCCTCCTGAAGGCACACCGCCGCTCTGCTTTCGCAGGGGGAGAGCAAGGATTTGTTGTTCATCCTGACGGCCAAGTATAACGCCTGCATCCTCGAGTACAAGCAGAACGGGGACAGCATTGATATTATAACCCGTGCCCATGGCAACGTGCAGGTGAGTGAAGCTGCAGCACCTCCAGCGAGGCGAATTCCCTTCCTTAGGGATGGTTTTACTTTGCCGGTGATGAGAGTGCACCGAGGTGATGGGTTTCTGCCTTTTATTGATGATTCTTTGCCTACCACTGACTCTGGTATGGTTCACCTGCTGCCACCGGTATTTCCAGAGGTTTTTATTCTGCAGTGAGTCAGTCTCGGGCTCAGCGACTGAGGACACGGCTACAGCTGTGTTCTCGGGGTAGTTTGCAGAATAACAAGGTTAATTTGAGATACCAATACCAATACCTCCTACCATAAAGAGAATTACCGCTCAAAACTCAATGTAAGGCAGAATTTTCCCTGGGAAATGACTCCTCTGGTATTTCATGGCCGGTCTCTACACGCTGCATACCAGAAGCATGGCTGCTGAAGTTACTCTTGCCATCGTGGCCATACAACATTGTTAATAATTGCAGATGTTCTCTGTTGTTCTGTTTTATGTGGATTAAAATCACGCTTTTTGAGCAGGTCAGAAATCCACATGTCTCTTTGGCTTTTGGTTAGTCATTAGCCAAATGATTTTCATCAGCTGTCAAGCCAAAATATCTTCCATCTGTTTCCAGGCGCTGAGCTTCCACTGACTTACTGTTGGCGGAGCTGAGCAGGGGGTTACAGGCAGGAGCTGTAGGTGGGCATGTCCTGTCAGTAACATGTTAGCGTGTTTGGGGGAAAAGCGCTTAATCTTCCCGTGCCACGGTTCTGCCTTGTGACATATGGAGATGCTGATATCAGCCCCCGCCGAGTAATGCTGAGGGGTCTGTGGAGGCTGATAACAGGGCTGGATTTCTGGAGGGTAATTTTTCGGTCGTGGATATCAAAGCACTTCACAGCAGCGGAGAGCATCGCTCTCCGTCAGCGATAGAAAGCAGAGGCGCAGGACAGTGATGTGGCTTCTCTGAGGTCATTCTATAGAGAGCTGGGATTAGAAAACCGGTTGCAGGGTCTGCTCCTGGAGCACCCGGTTCCCGGGAGAGAGAAAATGTGTGCTGTGGGAGTTCTGCCAGGCTCTTGGGTGGAAAGGACCTGCTGCTTCAGGCAGGAGAAGCCTGAATTGCCTTTGGCTTCCCAGATGGTATTTTAAAGCCTGCTGGGAGGTGTGCAGGGAGTCCTTTTTCAGTCGAAGGGTGGTAACTCTTGCCCCTGCTATTCGCAAGTCCCACGGGGGGGATCTTTTTCTAATGCTAATCGCCCTTTCTCTTCCCCTGTCCATGGTTCTTTCGCTCAGGATCGCATCGGTCGTCCCTCGGAGACCGGCATAATTGGCATCATTGACCCGGAGTGCCGAATGATCGGCCTGCGGCTCTACGATGGCCTCTTCAAGGTCATTCCCCTGGACCGGGAGAACAAGGAGTTAAAGGCTTTTAACATCCGCCTGGAAGAGCTCCAAGTCATCGATGTGAAGTTTCTCTATGGCTGTCAGGCTCCCACCATCTGCTTCGTCTACCAGGTACCTTGTTCTCGATTGGTGACTCAGGCAGAGGGTGCTGGAGATTGCTGGGGCACCAGCCAAGGTCTCCAAAGCGCTCGAAGCAGCAGCGGTGTTCTGGAGCCAATGGAAAGCAGTGCTTTGGACAGAGCGAGAGACCGTTCTGGCTCCTGCAGGCTCATTGCATAGCCGAGGGAAGTCCGTGTTCCTCTGTGCTGCTTTTTTCCATTTCTTGGAGAGAGGAAGCCATGCTCTCCCACAGGAGAGCTGGGCAGCTGATGCTTCGGATGGGCCCGTTTCCGTGTTAAACACTCGGGAGGAGAGCATGGGTCTTTCCAGCAGGTGCTGAGCAGGTGGATTAGAGCCCGAGTCAGTTGTTTCCTATAGGCACTGCTGTGAGACTTGGGCCTTCCCCTTAAAAAAAAAAGGCAATATGTCGTTTGGTATTTGGGAGGCCGCTCCAGGAGTGTAAAGAGGGGCCGTAACCTCTCCTATCGCCTGGGTCCTCACAGAGGCAGTGTTTATAGGCCCTTCTCTAAACGCTTATTTTGAACCAAAGAGCCTTTGCTGTGCTGCCTGGGTGAGGGATTATCTTTGCTTTGTCAAATTCTGGGCTAGCCTGGGCCTAGCTGAAGGTTCCTGGGATGGCAGCGCATAGGATCTGCTGTGAAATGAATTCAGCTTCGGCATAGTTCTTGGCGGCAAACTTATAAGAGCCACTAACCACGTGGCAGCAGTGACTTGATTTTTCCCTATCTGGGTGCTGTTGAACCCTCCTACGAGTTACTGAGTAAAGGCACGGGTCAGAAATCACTTTGTCGTCACGTAACTAGGGGTTGGGAGGGCAGCCCGGATTCCCCCGTGTCAGGACAGTGCTCTTCCCCTGCCCTGTGGGTAACTGGTGCTCTCCCTCGTCACCTAAATGTCAGTGTGCTCCCTTTAGCCTTGCTGGGAGGTGTCCCCAGCCGTCGTGTATCCTTCCCACCTCGCAGACGCTTGCGTGATGATTTAACGGTGGGCGCAAAAAAGGAAGAAAACAGGGAGGGGGTTGGTTAAGAGGCTCTACCTGAAAAAGCAAAGGATTTTCCGCTAATGCGTAGGAACAAGCACTGTTTTCTTACAAAAAGCACTGCCGTTCTTCTCCTGCTTAGGGGAGAAGAGAGTCGTGATCCCTTGTACAA